CTCTGTTTCTCTGCCTGTTCAACCTCCGTTGCTGGCAGGCCGATACACCATGCATGAGTCGACGTACGCCACCCAGAACGGTTTTGTGCAGCAGCCTCCCATGTCGCTGTGTTGATGCCACAAGAATTAAGAGCAGTCTTCAGAGTGTCCTTATAGCGCTTTTTCTGTCCCTCCCTGGGACCTCTTCCCTTGCTGGTGCTCGCCATAAAATACTTTTTTAGTGATTTGTGCATCCGAGTTGAAAAAGATGAGCGTTTTCTGCTTCATTATATGTTGACAAGAAAGTGAGGAAAAGATGCTGGCATTGGATAGGACACACGCTGAGAAACCTGAGAACAATATAACGAGAATGTCTTTGCACTGGAACCTACAGAGGCATACAAATAAAGAGTGAAGCTGAAAAGATGGGGAGGACATAGGGAGAGCTGTATGCGATGGTAAAGGACAGAACAACTTGGTGTGAGTTGGCAGAGGATGATGATGATCTTCTTCCTCCTCCTTTTTCTTGGGTGTTAGAAAGGCAGAAGAAGAATGAATGTGTTGATATAGACTTCAGTAATGCACCTTTCCATTTTCTAGATGACAGTGCTATACTGGGAGGAGGTGTGTGGGAATCAGCCTGGTCGAGTGTGACTAGCAAGACCCCCCTGCATCAGGAAACATCTACCACAATCAGAGCACCGGATTTCAAGTCAACACTTCAAAATATCAACAATAAAGAAAACCCAGATTGGGGCCCAAGGGTAGTCAGGTATAAACTACAAACATTCACTGGCTAGTGCTTGAGCAACATAGAAGGAATACAGTGGAATGACACAATCACTAATGTAGAGCTTTGGAAAGAATTAACAAAATTCCAGTAAATCAAGAGGTGAGGAAAAAGACACTGGCTTTGGATAGGACACACAATGAGAAACCTGATAAAAATATAACTAGAATGACACTTCATTGGTTGGAGACAGCGAAACTAGAGAATGAAGAGGAAAAGACAGGGAGGACATGGAGTGAGATGCACATGATGGTGAAGAACAGGACAACTTTGCGTGATTATGCTTTAAATGTCTGTATGCTAGTGGATTATGCTGAGACTGCGGTCTGTGCCAGTTTTTCCACAAGGGACAGTGATGGACATTCTGTGTGCTTTTCATTGGCACAGGAACGGAACAACCATGGAGTGACCCGTCTGCTATGAAGATGAAACTAAGATTACTAAGATTACTTGAGTGCCCTTTTGTGCACATTTGCAAGGACACACACTGCATTGTGCCACTTTACAACATGTCTGCGATATTTGCATCTTTAGGTCAACATATCTGACATCCCCCCCCCCCCCCCCAGGTTATTCACAATCACATACCTGCACCCAGAATACAGTCCCCTGCTGTCTTGAAGTCCATCTTGTCTAATGCAGTGTTGTCTGTGAACATACCACACCAGAAATTATCATCAAAACAAACACATTTTATTTCTGTACACAATAGAAAAATTGTAGATGTTTAATTGTCAACGAATTGGAGCTTCTATGGTGGTGTGGGGGAGGGGTGTGTGTGCGTGAATGTGTGCGCACGTGTGTGTGTGCGCACTCGCATGCGTGCATGCATGTGTGTGTGTGTGTGTATATATGATAAAGGGATAGTTTAGTTAAATGATTTTGTGCAATCTTTTTGTATTTGTGGTGTAAAAAGGAGCAAAACCCAGCTGTAATAAAGTTTATCTCCCCACTTTTAAAACCATTAAAAGAATTTTTTAAACAGTACAATAATCAAAGTATAACCAAAATAGGCTAAACAAAATATAAATGTCATTTCTAACAATTAAAAAATCTTTTAAGGTTTAAGTTAGTCTTCCCAAACAAAGTAGGTCACGTTTCATTCACAAGTTTGTTGGGCTGGTCTACTTTCTTGCAGGTTAAGGGTGTGTCGCTTTGTTGTTTGCTTTCTGGGTTGTCTCACATTTACATTTTTATCCTGAACAATTCCTCCGAAGTCGGAGTACATCTGCCGGAGAGGCGGGGAACGAGAACTGCAAACAAATAAGCCAGTAAAAGGGATGTACACGGAAAACTCAGGTCAAGGTAAAAGCCAAAAGTCCATTTTGGACGAACAACCGCGACTTACCGCCGGAATACACAGCCGGTGAACAAGAAGAAGAAAAAGAATCCTGAAAAAGAGAATGCCTGTGACATAGGTTGCAGCACTCTCTAGAAGGGTTATGTTAGACCCAGTTTGTCCATGTTTTTGGAGCGTTAAAAGCGCTGCCATGCTGAAATATACAACATGCAATATCAATGGCATTGCGGAAAGCACCCATAACCTTGTGCCAAGGCTACGTGGCTCAAGGTCTACTAATTAAAAGTGAGCTAGCGTGTAAATGGGTGGGATCTGGGGAGCAAAACATTAGTTTTACCAAAAATATAATACTGTGATTTACCCTGAAGCATAAGGAGAGAGTTGGCACTGTAAATAAACACCACATTGGAATTTTCAGATGGCAGCAGCAGCTTGTACTCAATAAGATGATCTTCTGCTTCCTCCTGATAAAAATCAAGTCATGTCAATGTACTTCTCAATAAAACAAAAACACACACATAAAAACAAAATGCATAACAATTGAAAAGAACATAATTTTGTCATAGTTCTGTCACTGAAAACGGGTGAACAGTGCAAAGGAGCAGATAGACCATTATGGTCTAAGGAGAATGGCGCTGCAAGGAGATACCAGGGGATCTGGCCGACGCTCAACACTCAGGGGAAAGAATTAGACGAATATACAATCAGGCAGTTACTGGTACCATCGGAATTGGAACTCTTCGCTTGCTGCTGAAGATAGGGACTGAGCACTCCAGTGTACACATTACGGGTGTCCTAATTACAACTTCTTTGGGGGCTAAGCAGGGTATCGGGGATCTACCCCGTTGGTCTGCCACCCAGGATACGACTTTGAAAGTCTCAAGGGTGACTAAACCTCCAAGCAGCAGCCCAGAGAGTAAAAGCCGATGAATGAAAGAATTCAGAACTGGCCACACATAACCCACCAGCAGAAGCATCTTCATTATATGTTGAAAAGTTAGTTACACATCCTTTACAGGACGTTGCAGAGCCAACCCCAGCACTGTTTAGCTGTTGTGATTTTTCTGGTCACATTTTACCTTCAGTAGTTTGCCACTACTTTCAGAATCATCAGCTCTCGGTACCAGTGTCAAAACCAACGCAAGAAAAACAGTCCGCAGCAGGTATCGAAGCCAGCACCCCGGCATTAAGAAGCGTGTTCGAAGCGCCTACATATACTGACATATTATTTTTATTTATAAATAGTGGGAGTCGCCCTGGCGTAGCGGCTAGACGTTTGCTTGCAGATCGGAAGGTCATGGGTTCGCCCCCTGGCGGAGGACTTTTTTCAAAAATGACCCTGACTAACAGGTCGACCCATTCTTGAGTGGGTACCAGGTGCAGTCCTGGGAAGTAAAGGCAGCCGGAGTGATGCTATATATAGCCCTCTGCGAGCGTGTAAAAGGGACCTTCTACTTTACTTCACTTATTTATAAAAAGTAATAATACTCACAATTATACCTAGCAAAACCAAATTTTTTTTTTTAAACGTAATTTGTTGGCTGGTGTTGTTAACTTTATGAAACATGCACTAAACATCGGCACTCATTAAACAATAACACCCATTAAAGAATAACTGCACTCATTAATCTTGTTAATGATAAGATCATCTACAGCACAAAGAAAGCACTGACCACATTATTCACCAAGTGCTGACTGGTGTATAAAAAGTAAATGTCCTGTTATATTCCCAGTTCGCCTAAAGGCATGGAAAACTATTTTTTTTTACTAAGCAATGATAGCTCCCCGTTTAAAAAAAAAAAAATAGTATGAGCACACACTAAACAAACAATGTTGACACCCAATAAACAATCACACCCAAATTTAAACAATAACGGCACTCACTAAACAATAACGGCACTCACTAAACAATAACGGCACTCACTAAACAATAACAGCACTCACTAAACAATAACAGCTCCCACTAAATAAACAATAACAGCCCTAAAAAATACAATAACACCCCCCCCCCCCCCCCCCCCCCCCAAAGATACAATTGTCAACAGACATGAAACACACAAAATCATACCAAAACTCAGAGGCATATATGAGCCCATACAACCACATAGAAACCCATACAACAACACAGGAACCCATACAACCACACAGGAACCCACACAGGCGCATATGAACCAACACAAGCACAGATGGCCCGACACAGACCCATGGGAACCCACATAAATCAAATCACCCCAATCACTCACTGTGTATTTCTGTGTATAATCCAACAGAACGAGATCACTAACATTTACTGGGTGTGCATCATCGTAGGTTTCAAAGTAAGCTGCAAGAAATGAAACATCACTCAAATAAATTAAAAGAGAGAGAACTCCTGAGTCAGAAAAATAACTATATTTATATATACGATGAGGCAACAGCAAACAAATAAGCCAGTAAAACGGATGTACACGCAAAACTCAGATCCAGGTAAAGGCCAAAAGTCCAAATGGACAAACTATTGGGACCTTCCACCGGAATTCAAAGCCGGTGAACGAAGAAGAAGAAGAAGCAAAAAAAGGTTATATATATATATACATATATAATAAACAAACATACAATGTATTGATCTGCCCTCACAGAAAGAAGTAGAAAGATAGAAACACACTCAAAAGTTAGTTGCGTATGCTTTACCGGATGGTGCAGAACTAACCCTAGTGTTATTTTGGCTGTTTGTGGTTTTTCTAGGCAAATTTTACGGTCAGTAGTTTGCCACTGCGCTGAACGGTCAGCTCTCGGTGCCACTGTCGAAACCAAAGCAAGACAAACCGTCCGCAGCTGGGATCAAACTTTACACTCAGGACGCCCCCATAAGCGCTCCTTCCCCATCTTCAGCAGCAAGCGAAGAGTTCCAATTCCGATGGCAAAGTAACTGTATGACTGCATATGTATCTCTCTCCTTTCCTGGGTGTTCAGCACCGTCCAGATCCCCTTGTAACTACTCGCAGCGCCATTGTCCCAGACCGAAATGATCTATCTGTGCCCTCGCAACATCCAGCTTGTCGTACATCAGTTCACCACCAAGTGGTGCAGAACCGGCCAGTCTATTTGCCTGCTCATTTCCCAACACACCGGCATAACCTGTAGAAAATATCCAAAGGATGCTAACTACCCGGGACCTCTAAAGTGATGCTCGCCACTGCACGAAGCATGCCTGTCTCCACCTTTCTCAACATTCTCTGTGTCAGTTACAATCACAGCAAGTGTGTACAGTTGATTCTCAAGCCAGCAGTGACTGCCTCCACCTCCATTCTCAAACTAGACAGTGAAGGAAGAAGAGGGTACACTTAATTCTTACAGAAAAACACACACAATATTTCATGCTGATTGTTTCTATGGTGAGCTGGTTATAGTATCTCCCTTCTTTACCTTAAAGATGGCATAGACGTGCTTCACCAAATCTCAACTTCTTGGTCACGCAATCATGTTATCATCAGAGATTCAAGATTATCCTCCAACCTAGTCCTTACAGCGTTAATGATACCAGCTCTGTCCTTGCTTCGTCCTGTTTGCACTGGTGCATTACCAGACAGCCAGTCAGCTCTTTCATTATCATTTACTCCTGCATGCCCAGGTGTGTACATCCAGACGATAGCGGTTAACTGCGACTTCCAAATGCCTTCTACCTATTCGGAGCGTAGACTACCTGTAGTGATTTTCTGAAGCATGCGTATAGAGTCTGAAAGAATAACCACTTTTTCTGCTACCAATGTGAGTGCTCTGGAAGCAGTTGTTTTGTCACTGACATGTGTGTGTCAAGGTTTCATGTCTGTCCTTGCCACTAACATGTCAGTCTCATGTCACAGTTGTAAAGCCCCATACAATGACAAAAGACCCCCACCAAAAAAACACTAAAACTTACCTAAGGCATAATAAACCACCTGAGCCGCCTCCAGGTTGACTCCAGCTCCAAGCATGACAACACCCTCCCTGGACAAATTAATCACTTCTATTAAATCAACCATGAAACACTCAAACTGAGTAAATGACTAGATATGACCCACATATACTTACTTACTTACTTAGTCGCTCCTCTTCTACCTTGGGGTGTAGAGGTTTGCCAGAGAGATCGCCAGACGTCTCTTCAGTTTTCTTCCTGGCTTTGTTCCATTCCAGTCCCATGTCAGAGACTGTCGGATGTTGTCTTCCCAGCCCGCCCTGGGTCGCCCAAGAGGTCTGCTTACCTGGTTCTTAGCCTCCCATGCCTGCCATAGTGGCCAATTTTCCTCCCATTCTGCATACATGTCCAAACTGTGACTGATCATCTCGGGTTGGTAAGGATTGGGCATCAAGATCTTGACGCCCCCCCCCCCCCTGCCCCCACACAAACACAAACTAGGGAATCTGTTCAATAACTAGGAAATCTGTTGTGCTTCTTCTTATGCTAGTTCATTTTCTTCTTCTTCTTCTTCTGTGCTTGTCCTTAACCCTTATGCCCCACAAAAAGAATGGGCCATGAACTGGCAATTTCTTGGGAAAATGCCTAAAAAATCAATCATATTCATGTTACGTAGGTCACTAATTTTTTTTTTTTTAATTTATATACCTAGATTTTTTTTACCTCACAATATATAAAGATATGTAAAGGGATAACCAATAAACACAAGAGTGAAACATTAAATGGAATAATTCCTAGCAGCCTTAAAAAAAAAAAAACACCAGTATAGTGAAGTATTAAATAGAACACATTCCCTGTGACCTAAAAAAAAAAATCAGGTGACTCATGATGTGACCCCATGACCTCTATCACTAAGGCTTATGGGAACATTTGACATCAACTTGGCTTTCAAAAAGCCATTGGTATCATAAGGAAACCCTCCTAAATGTTTAGTTAGTATATACATTTCCTGGCCTACAAAAACTGCATGGGGGCAAACAAGACCAGTGAAATTTAACTGTGCATTTTTAGAAAATGTAACTGCAGACAAGGCCATATTTACGGGACTGTGTCACAACCAAAAGTGACTGGATTTAGCCCTTTTGGGGTGACCGTTAAAATGGTTCATTCATTGCATTGTGGTTTACAGCTAGGCTGCATTATCTGTGCCTTTCAACCCAAATTAGTCACCTTTTTGACATGCTTGTTAATTAAGAGAGTGGTGGATCTATTCACTTCCACCTAAATAGGGCCCTGGCTCCCTGAGAGGCAAGAAACCAACAGTCTGCATGCAAATAAGCTACATCTGTAAAATGGATGTGCAGGTAAACCACATGTTCTGGAACAAGGCCAAGGTCCAAAAGTGGATGAACAACCAAAACTTTCTGCCAGGGTTACCAATTGGTGAAGACAAAGAACAAGAATCGAACCCAAACCATAGATTTACCTGGTGAGCTGAAGATCAAGAAGCCAGATCTTCAGCTGGGGCAACTGGATGGAATCTTGTTCCTGAGAATGAAAAAAATAGAAAATTGAGATTATTTAGGTTTTGTGAGTTTTTAAATTATGTTTTTTTTAACTGTCATTACTGTCTGTATTGACACTTTTTAGGCTGCTGTAGGATATAAATATACAGGTAAATAGAAAAGAATTCTTACAATTCCTTGGACAACCAAAAAGGGCAAACCAAATGTTTTGAAAAAGACAAAGGCTCAAAGAAAACTTATCACAGACATCAGAAAGAAAATGTAATTTTTTTTTGCTATGAGAAGAAGGAAACTGGAACATGTTGTGACCACTGGAAAGATCCATGGAACAAGAGACAGAGGAAGACCAGACGAGTAGATTCTTGCCAGCCTTCTGTCATGGTACAGATGGAGTGTCGGCACATGAACTGATACATGCTGCTGAAGATTGTGGATTGTAACGAGGCATGATTGCCCACACCAGTCGGCACGGCAGTTGATGAGGATGATAATGTAGGACATGGATTCTTGAAAACATTCTACTACTTCTTCTTCACCTTCTCTTTTACTGCTTCGGATATCCAGGTAGATATAAGGTGCTGCTTCTTGCCTTTCTAAGCGCCTCGACAACAGAATCATCATGCTGTTGTACAGTTTTGCCGATGTTATCTGTCCATGTTGTTCTTGGTCTACCTCGTCCTCCTCTTTTTGTGTATGCCTTATGTGGCATGGCATCATGCGAAATTCTCTCCAAGGGAGCAAACAATTTGATGTGATGCCTCTGTATGTAATTTATTATCATTTCTGTGCTGGCTTGTTCTCTTGTGTCTTCATTCCTGATTTGAACTCTTCTGGTCACTCCTGCAGCCCTTCTTAGACACCTGATTTCCACGATTACTAATTTTCTTTTCTTGTTTGTTGTTCAGTGACCACGTCTAGTACTGGCAGCACAGTGTTAAAATGAATATGCTTTGTATGAGACATTTCTTTGTGCTGATTGGGAATGTCTTATGTTGTAAATAGTGGCTAGCTGTCCCAATACTTGGTCTGTTTTACTGGATCGGATGTTCATTTCTTCTTGAAAACATTCTTCTTCTTCTCTTCTACCATTTACCTCAGCGAGGTGTACAGAAGAGATGTAAGAATCGTTTGTGCAATTCTACCATTGCATGGTAGAAGTTTGTGTTCATTTCTGTTAGGTTGCTCCTAATGATGTCACTCTATCTCTTGCGTGGTCTTTCCCTTGCTGTGTTCATTATATTTCTTCAGCATGGCTCTCTGTGGTAGTTGGTACCAGGACATTCTCATCAGGTGGCCAAACCATCTCATTTGTTGTTCTTTAATGAACTGTATGACTGATTTCAGTCCTAATCTTCTAATTTCTCCATTCCGGATTTTATCTCTTCTTGTCACACCGGCAGCTCCCCTAAGACATCTCATCTCCGTTGCTATGATTTTCCACTCATTACTTGTATTAGTTGAAAACATTAACTGCTATCAAAAACTTTACAACCATGGTAACGTATTAAGCTAGACCTGCGGAGAATGTGAGTACATCATCCTGTTCAAGATCCTAGTCATCATCGTGTGCCACATAGTCATTTATTCCTAATTAAGTTCCGAACACAGATCGCCCGTCCAACTCTGCCAGTCTGTCGTCATTCTCCCCTTGTCAACCTCTATTTCAAACATCCTCAATAATTACCCGTCTTAACAATCTCTGACGCAGTGAATAAATTTTGACCCACACATACACAAAACTTAAGGATTATGTTCAATAACTAGGAAATCTGCTGTGCTTCTCCTTTTTCTTCTTCTTTGTTTGCCCTTAACCATATTGCCAATCTGTCGTCATTCTTCCCTTGTCAACCTCTATTTATAATCACCCCTGTCATAACATTCTCCAATGCAGTCAATAAATTATTAGGTACTGTTTCAGCTTTCTCACTTACCCACACTTTCCTGGCTAATGATTCACGGAACATGCGCTCGGCATCTATTTGGTACAGAAGCTGAAATGAACCGTTGATAACAAGTCAATAAAACACCAACAAGAAAGAAAAGGTAACTGTAATATTACAATGCACAGGTGACCATTTGCTTTCAGAGTGATTTCCCTGTCCAAGATGACAAAAAGTGGCTGTGTTATTTTTTGGTAGCTGTGATTTCTCTCGGATTGCTCTGTTCACTTGTCATGGACTGCTATTTTCTGTGCTTTTCCAATACAGGATACATTTGGTTTTTTTGTGGGCGCAACATGTATTGTGGTTGTGTTATGCTGAGGCGGGTTGATGACTGATAGTTTTCACAGCCTTGAGCAGGCTGTTCTCCCAATATTCTGATTACGGTGATCCACTACCCGGCAAGACAGAATCTCGTAAGTGGGAGACTGCAAACTGTCTAAAGAGCAAACCTGATAACAGCTGTCCCCAGAAATGAGTTGGGTTGAGTTGAGAATAGACATAACAGCACTCGAGGCATTCCTATGCATGCTCCGTCCTCATCTTCAGCAGCCAGCGCAGAGTTCCAATACTGATGGTACCAGTCACAATCTGGTTAAAAGACTGTCTTGCCTTTCCTCTGGGTGTAGTGAGGGGACCAGACCCTCTGGTTACACCCAGGTGCCTCATTCTCTCGAGGCCATGATAATCTTTTTTTCTCTACTGATTCCATTGCTTGTTCCCAAAGAGCCTTGACCACATCTGCCTTGTCATGTATTCCCCAGAAATGTAATGTGTTAATCATTTTTCCTTCGAGGAATTTACATATTCAGTTAACTCAGTTGTCAGGTGCAAATACTTATTCAACTGTGATTCCATCACGTTCGGTGACAATAAGGTGAAAGGGGAACAGGGTCTCACACCTCGGACATCCCAGTTTATAGCCCACAGTGGATCAGGCGCACGACCAGAGACTGCAAAAGAAAAAACATTAAAAATACACAAGACAGAAGGTTGTGGGAAAATATGACGACCAATGCTATGAACTTTAGCAATTTTTTTAAAAATCATATAATCATTCCTGGCGGAGGCAGACTTTTTTTTAAAATGACCTTGGCTCCCAGGTCGACCCAGCCTTGAGTGGGTACAGGGTCAGTCCTGGGAAGTAAAGGCAGCCGGAGTGATTCTGACCATATCACCCATCTTGTGCTGATTGGTCTATAAAAAATATAGGTCTAGTCCCATATGCTCTATACACCTAAAGGCTGGAATAGGGTCCTTTATTTACTACTACTTTACTTTACTTCTACTTTTTTCATCATTTAGTACCTTCTCAGGTCCTATACTGGGGACCTGCCATTTGCTCAGGTTGTTGCCAGATAGGACGTAAAAGGATCGTCTGTCTTCCTCCTCTTCATCATCATCATATTCATCTACGGGAGCTGCCAGGATTGTCTGAAGAGGCTAATGAAAGAGAAACACACACAAATTACTGAAGAAAAAGTGTTGCTTCAAACAATCTGGAAGAAAATAATGAGACATGCAGAAGTAAAATAATAATAATCTGTTCAACATTAATTTATACATATACATATATATGTACATGTATATATACACACATACATATATTTTTGTTTACTGAAATTTTTTGTTAAGGCCATGTGTGGGTGTTTAAAACATCAAATTTGGGTCAGGTTGACAATCTTTTGAAAAGTTTGTTTTTACACACCTAGGTAAGTCTTCTGTCAGATTCAGTACTTGTTATTGTCTAAAATATGTTATTTGAATACATCAAGTTAACTCCATGACCCATCTAGTGCCAACTGATCTTTAAAAATGAGTTTAGCATCATATGCCCGAAGGGGTACCAGCATGATAAGGCTCCTTTGCTTTGCGTGTAATACAACATCAAACTGTCTGGAGAAAAGATGCTTCATTCTGTCCCCAACAGGAAAAACTCCACCACCTTACCGGGGGTGGAAGTTGGGTCTTCCGCAGGACAGCTTGACGTTCTAACCGCTCGGCCAGCCACTCCTCTTACAAAATTACAGAATTATGCAATAAGAACAAAGAGTAACTCACAGCTCCATTTGTCTGCAACGGCGAGGCTCCGAAAATGAAAGATGACATTCTTTTGCTGAGGCCTGAAAACAGGCCCTGGGAGGCCCTGAGTGGCTTGCAGTGTATGCTGACCTGAGGATGGAAGCATTCACACAGTTTTTGTGCAATATATCTTTGTCTAGTGTCAGAGGACAGAAAGGTAAAAACTGTATACACACGGGAGCTGAATGGTCATAGACCACCCGGCAGACCAAGAAGAAGATAGAGGGATAATGTCCAGTCAGACACGCAAACACTTGGTGTTACCAACTGGAAAGAGAAGGCCAACAAGAGATAAGTGGAGGCAGGTGATACTTTTAAAGCAGTTTGAATACTTAAGAAAAAAAAAAGTGCAAATTTAATGTCAAGTAGATGTATAAAAATTTGTCATTATTGCCGCGGCATCCCTGACATACGCTCAGGCACCAAGTTTGAGCATCGCTGCGTTAACGTGACTTCAGCAGCAACCCGTCTTACAGGAGGATGGTGCAAGACCATTTTGATTTCTCCGTCCTCTTTTTCATCTTTGTCTCCACCGCTGACGTATTTTTAATCACTGCACCTAGGTGCATCTGTTGCTCTTACCACAGCCCGGCCCACTCCACCGCCACACAAACTTGGCCGACAAAGTTACCGCCCATCACCTCCCCCAGAGTTGTGAACGCAGGGCCTTCCGACTGTAAGGCAGATGTTAAACCAATTTCATTAGAATATTATATGATAAAAGCAAACGAAAAAAGGACCAGTACTGTATAATTTAATCGCCGTGGGTTCGCATCCTGACGGAGCCAGACTTTTTTTTTTTAAATGACCTTGGGAAGTAAAGGCGGCGGGCATGATACTGACCACATCACCTTAAAGTGTCGACTAGCCTTTACAAAATATAGATCTAGCCCTATATTCCCAATACGCCGAAAGGCGCAGAAAAGGTACCTTTACTTTTTACTTCACTGTATAATGAGATATGATTGGCAGTTGTATAGGATAGAAGATAATTCATTGTATCATCATGTCAGTAGGTAGCCATATCCTTTTGGTGATCACTGGCGATTCATTTTAAATCCCATGGATGTTGACGGCTGGGTAATATTGTCTTGCTCTCAGCCAGAAGTACATATGTCTGCCAGAGTGTGCTGAAAAAACCAAACCCATCACTCACAGATTTCAAACTGATCTTTACTATCACTCCTTGAAACAAAAATCTCCATTAATTCTTAACCAAACTTCACGCCATTTTGTATACACGAAATGCAGACTAATGTAAAACGATAAACATATTTCAAGGTAAAAACACAGTTCACCGACCAAGCTTCTGTGGTAAGAAAAAAAAAAGCAATAGGATAATGCGGAATGCATCTAAACACACTTAAATGCCCATGGCAAGGTTTTAATCGTATGTAAACGGGTCAGTTGGCTCCAAATATGGCTAGTGCACATTGCCCTTTGATCCCCGAGAAAATAATCCTTAGAAGTCTGTGAGAAAAGTCGAAAATGTGTTTTCACGCCCATAGGAGTGAAGCCAAAAAACTGGGTTTCATCCAAAGACGTGTATAGCAGTGTAGGGCAAATGGCCAAATACTTCCGAATCAGTGAGGGCCAAGAAACTTGGTAACATCCAAAGACGTGTGTAGCAGTGTACGGGCAAATAGCGAAATACTTCCGTATCAGTGAAGGCCAAGAAACTGGGTAACATCCAAAGACGTGTGTAGCAGTGTATGTGCAAATGGCAAAATAATTCTGTATCAGTGAGGGCCAAGAAACTGGGTAACATCCAAAAACATGCGTAGCTCTGGCGGAAAGTTCCAGTTTCATCCACTTCTAGACTTTATTCTTGTTCCAGGATTTCAGTTTTGTGTGTACATTTGTACGCAGACTTTGCTGACTGCTCACCTCTCAGTACGTACTTTGAAGGAAACCCCCCTAATTAGTCGACTCCTACGACATTCTTATTGGCGGCAGTGGATCTATTCCTATCCCCCTCCTCCCAACAATGGGGCCCCCAGAACCCACATGGGGTTGACTTACCTAAATAGCCCTTGTCTGCAGATGCTAGAGGCTGCAGTCAATTCACCTAGCACCAACACATTCATACAATTCCTCTGGATGTTCCTGGATATCAAGTGTTGATGCTTGATTAATATCCTACCCCAAACAGGGGAGATTCACAGGTCAAGGGACAGTCTAATATTTCAAGGGGTGCTAGATAGGTTGCATGCAATCGTGGGACCTAGGCTGCATGCAGTCGTGAGACCTAGGCTGCACTCTCTAGTGGGACGTAGGTGGGTTGGGGTTAGAGCCAGTTCTAGATGTTTTGGGGTAGTTAAAAGCATCAGAAAGCTGGTAAACCCAGTCTTACCACCCTCTAAAATGTTGGAATGTCCTGTGAAGTCATCTGGGATAGGATATTAATAAAGCACCCAAGAGTGGAAATGGGGAATCCCCTGTTGTTCTTATTCTGGGAAATTAATTATCTTCAATGAAAAAATTCAAAAGACTACATACCTGCCCTGCCACAGGCTCCAGTAGAAGTAATGAGCTGGTGGTTGTTGCAAGAAGACATCCATGAGGCTGCAACATTGTACAGATAGATTCAATTGCCCATTCCGCCCAGGGTAAGAGTACAGTAAAAGATCCTTTTCTGTGCCCTTCAGGCGTATTGGGTATATAGGGCTAGACCTATTTTTTATAGACCATTCAGCACTCTGTGGGTGATGTGGTCAGCATCATGCCAGCCGCCTTTACTTCCCAGGACTGTACCTGGTACCCACTCAAGACTAGGTTGACCTGGTAGCCAAGGTCATTCGGCCTGGGGTAGTTAAAGAAAAGTGTATTCTCCCATCCTTTACTTCCCCTTGGTCTCCACCACTGCAGTATGTTTGATCACTGCCCCTGAGGCTCTCACCGCCATCTGGATCTTTCCACCACCCCTCAAATCTTACCCTCGAAGCCATCACCCCCCTGAACTGCCCCAGCACCCACAACTAGGGAAAGACTGCAGTAGGATGCTCCTACCACCCTCTCCACCAAAAATGTGACCAATGAAATTACTGCCCTCTCTGTCAACCTCCAATGGGATTGCAGTGTCCAGGGTTTGAAGTGCTGGTCTAACAAATTCTGCATACCTGAGTTCTATGATAGATTTGCCGCCAGTTGTACGTGTTTCGAAGCTGTCCTAGGCCTCATAACTAATTGCATGTCACATAATATTTCTGGCATATATGTTGAAAAGGGGGTCTAATGAATACTTCAAACCAGTAATACTAACACAAGTATTTAACAATTTGGCAGGCAGAAACATTCACTGTCTGTTAAATAGGCAGAGAGTTTTGATTTTTCGTTTTGTATATGTCTGCTAGATCTTGAGGAAAAAAAATGGCACTCAAAGGAGATAACAGCAAAAATCTAAAAATGTATGTAAGGGATGTAAGAGAAAATACTGAAAGGGATATCATCATCATCATGTAGCAGGTCGTTTGCAGAACGTCCCTCTCATCACGGTCTGCCTGAAAGAATCTCAGTCTCTCGCCAGCTCTCCTGCCTCATGTACTTTCATACTCAAGGAGTCACTTATATGAAAGGGAAATAGCTCCAGCAAAAACATCAAATTGCATAAAAGGACCTACTTGAGAACTGATGAAAAGAAGAAGACCTACCTGAAAATTGATGACCTTGGCACATTCTTCCCCTCTCAGTTCAGCACTGATCTCAGCTGTTGATGACTCGAAGGCAATATTGGGCCAGTACCTCACAATACCTTCCGGAGACACAGCCACACAGGCTGCAGGCTGGCCATCATTCTCACTGGGGATCACACAGACTCTTTCGGCACTGTGGGCCAGGTCACTGGGTGGCAGCATCAGCTCCTTACATTGTACTGTCTGGAAATGGAGTACAAGGTAATTGTAAACTAAGGTTAGGGGGGGCTGCGTGGTCTCAAGGACTGGTGTCTGCTTCGTGTGCTAGAGGTTCTGGGTTCAATCCCCAGTAGGGGCTGGGATTTTTTCACGTGGACTTGGACTTCTAGAAATTCTCCCAGGTTTCAGGGTAGTGAGATCGGACGCAAGTGTGCATTGTTTGTTGCGCACCTAAAAAAAATCCCTTGGCAGTTGGAAATAAAAAAATAGTAGCCTAACGGTGCTGCCTGGGCAAAAATTTTTATTTAAAAATCTACTATAAGTATTTCAGGATACTCGCTGGTGCTACAGAGCCTGTGCACTGTGCTGAGCTTCTTCGGACTTAGACTTGAGTTAGAAGAAAAACAGAGCACTTATAGGTTACCACCCGTGTGCCATGATGTTGATCCATTGTTCAAACTTCAAACCTCATGTTATTTTAGTCATTTTGTAGTAATCTTCTTCTTCTTTGTGTTCACTGGCTGTAAACTCCGGCAGAAAGTTCTGGTTGTTTGTCCACTTCTGGACTTTGGTTTTGATTCAGATCTTTAGTTTACATACACATCAGTTTTATAATTATGACTTATTTGTATGCAGAATGTTGGTTCCTTGCCCCTCAGACTGATGCACTTTGACTCTGTGGGTGCAGTGTATCCATGCATTTGTTGTCTTCATTATTGCTTCCTTCAGGCATAATTTATCATTTTCGGGACCGAAAGAGTTACACCAAAAAAACACCAATGAAAACGTCTTACCCTGGATCCCCCAGAGGACTTGTACCTCCACACAAACAACTTGCGACCACCCACCAGCCAGGCCCAGCCTGAGGGGTCTATACATGCAGTGATCTCTGTTGTGCTTCCTATAGAGAAATATAATATAAGATAACCACTGTTTTTCACAATTTTGGTCTGGTTGCATAAAAACTCTAGTTAAACAGAATTTAGTATTTGCAGTGAAATGTTTCTATCTTCTGGGTGATAAATTCTAAAGGAGATCTTTGTGAATCTTGTTTAGACTTATCATATTTCTCGAAGTATAGGATGAACCCATGTATAAGATGTGCTTTGATTTTGGGACGGGAAATTTTGAAAATAAATATGACGCTACAATTATATAAGACACACAATTTTTTAACAGCCTTATTTTTGGAAAATATGTGCATTTTATACTTGGGGAAATATGGTATCTTACTGTGACATATGAATATTAGAAGGAATGAGTGCAAGAAGGTGGAAGAAATAAGAGAAATATGTGGATAACTGCTAGTATCAACATTTATATAAAAAAGAAGTTCAGTGGAAAAAAAAGAGAAATATTTTGACTACTGCTCGTATCAACATTTATAAGAAAAATGAAATTGAATGGAAGAAATAAAAGAGATATGTGGACAACTGCTCGTATCAACATTTATAAGAAAAAAGAAGTTGGGTGGAAGAAATAAAAGAAATATCTGGACAACTGCTTGTATCAACATTGATAAGAAAACAAAAAGTTGGGTAGCAGAAATAAAAGAAATATGTGGACAACTGCTCGTGTCAACATTTTTAAGAAAAATGAAGTTGAATGGAAGAAATAACAGAAATATGTAGACAACTGCTCGTATCAACATTGATAAAAAAAGAGAAGTTGGCAATATACTGTGCACAACTTGAGGGGAAGACAGAAAATCACTAAACAAGCAATGAACTCAATACATTCACAGGAAACTCTTAAGGCAAATGCTGCTGAGAGAGGCCAAAGGTGCTGGAATGGATTCCTTTCATGACACTAAACAGAGTGCACAGGACATAATAGAATGGAGGTCTACACGAGACTGTGAACCCTTCGCGACGTATACCGACAAGAAGATGACTAACAGAAACTAAAGTTGAGCCTGAATATTTCCTGGCTGCTTTTAACTTCTACTATTTGTCCATGGAACAAGAAGAAGAAACATACCAACATGTTACATGACCTGAACATCGAGGGGGAAAATGACTCATAAACAGCATCTTGTCCTGAAAGATGAGATGGTATTGGTTTTTGGTTTTTTTTTTTAGAACTATCTACAGAAAGAGAGACTTTCAGGCGTGCCATGACGAAAGCAACCTTCTGTATAGAACCTGTTGATTGGTGATGATGCCATTAATATCCCAGTACAGCATGTGTCAAACAACATGCCAGGTTGTCCTATATTTAAATCATACGCAACTCACTCCATGATCTTCTATATCGTTTTCGCCTCAGTCTCTAATCCTCTTCACCCTGTTTTTGATGCTCTGACTCTCTGGGTTCAGGGACATTCCAGTTACAATATCAATTTTTCTCGACATATGAGGATCATGGTTTTACATCCAGAATCTAACCTTTTTTTTTTAAATAACATTGGTTCCCAGGTTGGCCGAGTCTTAAATGGGTAGCAGCTGAAGTCTTGGGAAGTAAAGGCGGAGAACATGATGCTGACTGCATTACCTACCTAGTGCCAGCTGGTCTAAAAATATCCCTTGTTCTTGTTAACATGTTTTTCTTTTTCAATTCGCCATGGTGGTTGATATGGCCAAAATATTTCCGTTCCGAAGACAAGATGCTTCATTGTGAACCTAAATTATGTAAAGTACCAAATCTTGATCTTCTCTAGTAATGTTCTTTTCTAGTTACAAAATAAATTTTAAAAAACAAGGAACAGGAAGGAAGGATGGGGTGGGGGGAGGTGTGAAGGAACCTTTTCCCGGCAGTGGGGCATCAAGTATATTATATAGATAAGATCAACCAGCACTCGAAAGGCCATGTGGTAACATCATGCCAACCGCCTTTGCTTCCCAGGACTTTAGCTGGTACCCATTTTGGGATGGGTCGACGTGCAAGGCAAGGACGCTTTGCGGAAATAATTCCACTCGATGCAGACTCAAACCCAAGACTTTAGACGAGGGAGTGAAGTGTTTAATACAGTGTTTCCCAACCCTTTTTTGTGCACAGCCCCACCTTTCTAAAATCTCTTATGCCCCCTATGTAACCTGTAACTCTGGACTAGTCCATTTCTGAATTTACCCCTTAACAATCAAACTGCCTGCCTGTGGGGCATGGTTCCCACGTTGTGAAACACCACCTACGCCATCACCACGGCACCCGACGCTCATGACACTGCTTGTCTAATACTTCTTATATTTTGTCAGTCTCTCTTTCTATCATGTATATTTTTCAAAATATCCACTTTAATGACACTGATACAATAGACATACTATCTGATAAATTCAGGGCTTCCGTAATGAGAACGGGTAAAGGAGCTCCAAAGGCTTCTATCCTGTGTTGTGACGTTTCTTCAACAAGCTGGGAAGCATGGAAGGAATGGCTTGCTAAATTAGTCTGATTCCTGTGAAGAAAGACAAAAAAAAATTTCTTATACATTTTTTTCAACAACAAAATAAAACCTCTAAATATTGTATTTTACTTTTTCGTTACTTGTCCTAAGAACAGAGAAAGAAGAAGAAATTAATTAGCACAAAATATAACATGATATTAACATCACCATCACTGCGCTGGTGCATGCAGACATTCACACCAACAGGGGAGTGAAAACATTGGCTTGCTGTGACTTAGCTTGAGATGGTCAACCTTTGGATTTAGTTGATCATACCAACATTTTTAACGCCCTTAATAAAGATAAAGAGAACAGGATGAGCGGGGGACTTCAGGCGCAGTATCCTTTGGGTATTTTCTCCAGGTTATGCCGGTGTGTTGGGAAATGAGCAGGCAGATAGACTGGCTAGCTTTGCACCACTTGGTGGTGAATTTATGTATGACAAGTTAGATATTGTGAGGGCACTTTGGGAACGGGTGAACAGTGCAGAGGTACAGATAGATCATTACGGTCTAAGGAGACTGCAAGGAGTTACCAGGGGATCTGGCCGACGCTCAACACTCAGGGGAAAGGATGAGACAGATATACAATCAGATGGTTACTTGTACCATAGGAATTGGAACTCTCTGCTTGCTGCTGAAGATGGAGACTGAGCACTTATGGGAGTGTCCCGAGTGCTGTGATGTTGATTCTTTATTCAACATTCAAGGAGCAGTGTGTATACATCCGTGTTGAGACAAGTCTGCTTCATGTTTATTGGCTGTAAATTCTGGCCAAAAGTCCTGGTTGTTGTCTATTTCTCAACTTTGGTCTGGTTCCTTCCAGGGATTTTGTTTTGCATGCGCATCCATTTTGCAGAGCTGGCCTTTCTGTGTGCATACTGTCAGTTCTTAGCCTCTCATTCAGAAGCACTTCAACTTCAAGGGAGCCGTGAAGCTAACACAAATGATAACACATAAATTCAAGAACAATGACATTTATTAATGAGTCACATTTGATCATTGAGCAAACATGAAAAAATCTGCATTAAAATATTAGTCAGATATTTTTGCCTTTTGGTGTCTTCCAAATTCAGGTGATGTGATTATCTATACAGGCGGCTCAGTGATGAGAGACAAAGTACACGAGGGTGCATAGCAAAATTTAATGGAAGCTGCTAAGTGCAGCATAGTCAGGAACATATTACTATAACATTTAGTTTGAGAATAATACAACATATCAAGGCAAAACTTTTGGCCAAGAGAAACATTGGTGCAAGTCAAACTTTGCGGGTTGCTGAGTGAATTACAAAAGACAGTGAAGTTCATACTAGAGACAACATTGCAGATATAGATAATATTTTTAAAGTAAACGAAAGAAGAAGAAAAATAAAGGTAGAGGCAGTCACAGCAAAATATTGTTGGCTTGAGAGCAGGCTGCACACAGACGTTTGTTCATTGTAATCAATGACTAAATCATTCAGTGAATTATTCAATTCCAGGATCTGCAAGTTTACTTTATCTTATGTTTATTTGTGTCATAAATTTTCTTCTTCGCATTCACCAGCTGTAAACGCTGGCGAAGAGTTTTAGTTGTTGACTGCAGTCCTGTTCCAGAACCTGAGTGTTGCGTGTGCATCCGTTTTACAGATCTGACTTATTTGGGGACTGAGCACGCATAGGAATGCCCGATGTTCAATGAAATAACATATCTTGTAGGGAGTCGGCAGTCCGAAACCCTTCAAGGTGTCTCCTTCATGCCAAAGAACTGCATGGCTGTTGGGTGAACAGTCGTTAACGAAGGCAGTCAGGTCATTATAGAGGCGACGCTTGCTGGTGGATGTAATGTCCTAAGCCCCTTTCCCAGCTAATAGTGAGGGTACTGCTGGGATGACCGTTTATTAACCCTCAGATAATGCTTCAGGTCAAAATGGATGCTAGGCACGGCCACTTTTCGTAGCCGTGGCAAATTTTTTTGTTTTTTGTTGTTGCTTTTGCCAGACGGTGGCCCTTGAATTCATTTGTAGACGAAGGATATCCTCCAATTAACGGTCCTAAATTATTGGGGCCGAAAATATACCCTAACAGAGCCTCAGTAACATGTCAATTGCGGACTTCCGTTATTCGGAAGCGATCCTAGTTTTGCCGCGATTTGTTCCTCGGCAGGCAATCCGTATTTTACACACGACTGAGGCCCTGTTAGGGTATTTGTTTGACCGCCTTTAATAATATTTATGGAGACGAAGATCGAAGGAGAACCATCAATTATTTAAATAATCTGTTACCTGACGAAATCCGGATTTAAAGCAATGTTTATTTTTTCAAACTGTTCTATGATTAACAAAAAGATTAAAGAATGAGTAGGATGATATGATAAGGCAGACTTTTTTTTTTTTTTTAAACTTTATGACATTTGTTTGTTTTGCCTTACAAAATAAATTCAAACAGGCGGTGGCGGTACCTTAAATTTCGTCGGGGTGTCGTGCTAGAAACTCTCAAACTCCGAGAGTGAGAATGTGTGTACGGGGAAGGTCTCCCTCTTGCCGCTGGTGTCCGTGGAGAAAACATGTTTAAAGTACTTTGTTTTAAAAAAATCAATCAAAAATACCGGATAAACACACGGCCCGTCTCCTTCATGGGCGCCACATTTGTCAAAAAGTTTAACCTGTAGAAGCAAGGACATTATTAAATGTCTAATTATTTTTTAACAGTGTTTAGAAAATAAATAATTTTAAAATGTATATTTCTCATATATATTTTTTTAATATTTTTTATGTACGACTTTTGACTTGTTAATGTGAAATATCTTAATGAATAGTTTCTTGGTGAATTAGGACTCAATAAAAGTCCTTATTTTTTAGATTAGGCAGCTCCATCCACAGGCCAGTTTGCCCGCCCAGCGTGATTGGAACCAGTGTTGCCACTTTTTAATGAGATCATAAGAGAACAAGTCGGCACAGAACCAATTCTGGATTACATACAAAGACAGCAAGTGAAATGGTTTGCCCACTTAGAGAGAATGCCTTGTGACACCATACCATACAAAGCATACATGGAAGGAGAAGGACGTAGATAGAGCACGGGGTAGACCAAGAACAATATGGAAGGATAACATCAAAGAAACTCTACAACAGCACGATGTGCCTATGGTCGAAGCAGCCAGAAGAGCTAGAAACAGAACCTTATATCTCCCTCGACACCCACAGCGGTAAAAGAGCAAGTGAAGAAGAAGAAGAAGAAGAAGAAGTTGCCACTTTTGATCTTTTATATTTCACTTTTTTCTGTGAGCAACATACTTCAGCCAATAAAGGACATACCTAAATATTGTAAAGTTGTGAAATTTTTAGGGGCTACCGATAATAGTGTCGCGGAAGCAGAATATCAGTTAACCAAAATAAAGTTAGCTGAAGGGACAAACAAAACAGAAACAAAAGCGTTTTGGAGTGAAGTGAGGCAATTTAAAGATGCCTCATCAAACAGTCCATTCTGAAAGCTCTTTAAAGTGCCATGTCTGCCATGATGCTGCCCCACTTAAATGCTGACGTAGAAAGAGTTTTCATGCTAGGAATTTTATCAAATCTAACCTAAAAAACAGGATGAAATTTGACCTCTTAAATGCTATCGTGCCTTTAAAATTCGGCCTGATGAGACTAGAGAAATAAGCCTACTGTTCCACTTATAAAGACATTTGAACAGCTAAAGCATACCAGGGTCATTTTGGATCTGAAGCTTCAACTTCATTATCCAAGCTAAGTTTATCCTGTGAGTCTTGTGGGGCAGACATAAGTGAAGGTGAGGACATGATTATGTAGGGTAAGTCCTAACAAAAGCTATGTAATGTTTGACTTTTTCAATTTGGATGTTTTTTCTAGATCTTTTGCACGCAGATTTAGATCTTTTTAGATATTTTTTGACACCGTTTTGGATATTTTTTGTCAAAGAAAAGTGGCAACACTGATTGGAACTCTACACTGATTGTTGCTCAGACACTCCCATTGACCCACTCCTCTCCTCACCTAGTATTATCACGCCTGCACACGTCTGATTGTGTCTTCAGATTGTGCCAAGCAACATTTTCCCTTTTGCCTTTCAATGTGTGATTATTTATACCAGTGATTATCATTCACCTTGTGACTTGCTTTGTGAAAAAAAATCTTCACGTTAAACCAACATCCAGACGTGTGGGCTTTAGGAAATTAGTGTGACTAGATTTATGTGAGCCATATAAAATGGCTCAGCATTGCACGCCACCAAAAGTCCTGAAAAGTACTCTTGCAAAGATGATGCCATCGAAGGACGGACCCAAATAATGTCCCGACCGGCTACGTAGTCATCTACCTGTGAGCCAATGGGCAACCCGGACGCCGATGTGTATCCACCTTTTTCAAGTTTCTTGAAAATATGGCCAGTCTACCTTATCCGTTTTACAGATCTCATATATCTGTAAGCAGATGCCCGGCTCTCTAGCGAAGTTGGTTAAACCTGACTTTCGCGGCGGCCGGGTGACGAACTCCTTGTGGTCCGGGTTCACTCCCGGGGGTAGGCAGAAAAGCCACATTTCTCCCAGATTAACGGTACCTATAATGGAATCAATGCCGAAGGGTTGCGATATCCATAGTACCGAGCCAAAGGGTTTACAACTCATGGTTTCTGGATACGTAAAAAAAAAAAAAAATCTGTAAGCAGATTTGGTTCCTTGCCTATCAGGCAGATGCATTCCGACTTTTAATGAAACACCTATAATTATTCTCATCATCATCAGGTGCCTTGCCGACTGGCTTGGACGATCATGCCTCTCCGTAATCTGCGATCTCCTGCAGCATGTAGGCTATCAGTTCGTGTGCCGACACACCTCCATGCCATGCAACAAGACTGTCAAGCATCTTCTCTCGTTGCCTTCCTCTATGTCTCCTTCCACAGATCTTTCCAGTGGTCACAACGTGTTCTATTTTCCCTCTTCGCATAACATGGCCGAAAAATGATGACTGTCTCCTTCTGATGTCTGTGATAAGTTGTCTTCGGGCTCCCGCCTCTTTCAAAACCTCTTGGTTGCTCTTTTTGGCTGTCCAAGGTATTCTAAGCATTCTTCAGTAAAACCACATCTCTGAGGCCTCAAGAAATTGTTTGGCCTGCCTACCGATAATTAGTCTACTTGTAGGAAATGGGCAGTAGGTCTATTCTTCGCCCCCAGAACCCACTCAAGGAAAAAAGTGGAGGTCACAATCGATGTTTGTATTGTGACCTTGGCACAAAATTTCAGGGGTGTTCAGCAATGCCGTTTATATCGCGTGTTGTATATTTCAGCACGCCAGCGCTTTTAACACTCCAAAAACATGGACAAACTTTGTCTACCACAACTCCCTTAGAGAGTGCTGCAACCTATGTGACAGGCATTCTCTTTCTCGGATTAAAAACGTAAATGCAAGACAACCCAGAAAGCAAACAACAGAGCGGCACACCCGTAACCTGCAGAAAGTAGACCAGCCCAACAAACTTGTAAATGAAACGTCACCTACTTTGTTTGGGGAGACTAATTGAAACCGAACCTCTCCATTTTCTAAGAGCACTAAATAAACCACTATCGGTTAGCTAGATCAGTCACATTGTTTTCAAAGCTCCGAGAAGGCAACACTTCAACGAGATAGACTATCACTTATAGAACAGTTTAACACACTTTCCACTCTAGGATGTCCGAAACCGACCCCGATTATAGAGCAATGTTATGCGGATACATCGATAACAGAAACAGAGATCGGCTACACACAAGAGGGACTGCAGAAACATCAAGGAAAGATATAAAACCGTACGAAAAGTATATCAGCGAGCTTTACAATATAACAAAAACCAACAAAACGTGAACGTTGCGGCTATGGAGCCTTCTTCAGCACATACATAGGTTAGACATTACTGTATGGACGAGTGTGACAGTCACAAAAAGAGATAGTAGCACGCATAAATATCAGAGACGCTGAAAAATATTTTTTACGAAGAGAAAATGAGGGCCCATTCAAGAGATTTCTTTCTGTCCTGACGCCGCGAAACATCCCAGGAGTAGAGAAAAGAAGAAGTAAAAGAAGAAAAAAGAGTGTTATATTTTGCTATGTGAAGACATGGGACTCACAGCCCATGGCTATAGCGAGTGTGACTAGCAAGACCCACCCGCGTTAAGAAGTCTTTCCCAATTAAAGTATGGGATTTCAGCACCTATGTTGCCATTATTAGTGTTTAGTGTGTTTTTCGCCTCTCAAAGTCCAACCCCACGTCCGCGTCGTGAGAGGTGGTAACAGAACAAAGTAGGGGATTGCTAGGTGTGGGCGAAGTATGGTGTGGCCTCGTGCCACGGGACCGCTACTGTAGCCATGAAGGCCACCCTGGGTCACCCCGAAACGTTCTGGCCAACGGGGCTCTAGTGAAGTTGCGACAGGCCTAGCAAGCCGGCAATGGATTTATTATCGCTACAGAAAACACAATGAAATATAAACGGACTGATCAAACGGTATCTTCAATTAGTAACCATGGAAATGAGATGTCTGAGAAGGGCTGTAGGTGTGACCATAAGAGAAAAGATCAGGAATGAGATCATAAGAGAAAAAGTCGGCACAGAAATAATTCTAAATTACATACAAAGACAGCAAGTAAAATGGTTTGCCTCTTAGAGAGAATGCCTTGTGACGCCATACCATTCAAAGCATACATGGAAAGAGAAGAAGGACGTAGAGCAAGAGGTAGACCAAGAACAAGATGGAAGGATAATATCAGAGAAACTCTACAACAGCACGATGTGCCTATGGTCGAGGCAGCCAGAAGAGCTTGAAACAGAACCTTATATCTCCCTCGACATCAACAGCGGTAAAAGAGGAAGTGAAGAAGAAGTGTGTTTTTCCCCAGACCTTCAGTTTTTATCGTTTCTGCAATCATTTCTTCCTTTATTCCCATTCCCCTCCTGATGTGCCACCTCCAGGCAACACGGTCCAAGGAATTTTGTCTCCAGGAGTCCATCTTAATACATGTATCATTTATGTCCCTTTTGTGACCGGTACCATGAATATTGGAACTCTGCACTGGCTAGAGAAAAAGTTCTACACACATGTCGTAAATGTAACAGACTCTGAAAGCATGCTGAGAAAGGTGAAGACAGGGATGCTTCGAGCAGAGTGGCAAGCTTCACTAGAAAGGTCACCGGTAGTGAGCATAAATTGGATCTTTTCTCCAGGCTATGCCGGCGTGGTGGGTAATGAACAGGCGGACAAATTGGCTGGATCTGCACCCCTGGATGGTGAATTGATACATGACAAGGCAAATGTGGTCAAGGCTCTTTAAGGGATCAGTAGAGATAGAAGATTATTATGGTCTGAAGAGAATAAGGCATCTGGGTGTAACCAGAGGGTCTGGCCGGCTCAGGAAAGGCAAGACGGACATTAAACCAGATTGTGACCGGCACCATCAGTATTGGAACTCTGCTCTGGCTATTAAAGATAAGGACGGAGCACGCATGGGAATGCCCTGAGTGCTCTGATGTAAGTTCTTGTCTCAACTCAACTCTTTTCGACTGGATGAAATCCGGTCCC